AACCGGTGGGATGGGGGGGGAACTTATCTCCTCCTGCTGCTTCCTCCTCTTCCTTATACGTGTGGAGCTCCCCCTGTCCTGGGAGTATCGCGGGTCCCCCCCTTGTATCTATATAATGATACTCTAGTGCCAGTTTTTTTAGAAACAAAAAGGCTCCCAGTGCTGGGGGGGAGGGGTTGTTGCTGTGGGGACAGGGAAAATGGCTGCCATGTGGTGGGAAAATCTGAATTTACCCACCCACTCAGCATCCATCCAGGCTTTACTGTGCTATTTCACAAAACTTCAGAGCAAAGCAGGTTTGAGCAAGATAGGAGAAAAGGAAGGGCGGGGTATAAATCCAATCTCTTCTTCTTATGCAGTCATTACGTAGGGCCAAAATATTTATTTATTTATTTATTATTTCATTCTATTTCCTATCCCGCTCACCCCCCCCAGGGGCTCTGAGCGGCTTACAATTCTAATTAATTAACACAGTCCTAATCTTGGGCCACATGTAAGTAGGGAGGTGAGAAGCCTTACCAGGCACCCTTTCTTCTGTAGCAGATCTTTCTGTTTGCGAGGGGACAGTCCCAGCGGCAGCCCTTCTTTCAGCGCTGGTCTTTTTTGCACTTCCGTCCTTTCCAGCAGACGTAACTCTTTAGGCCCGGACCACTTCACGCTTCTGCGCATGCTCTGCAGCGGCCTCTGTCCAAGTCAGACTCTGGCCTGCCGCGTCGCTCTGCCTCCGCGCCTCGTCCGTTCGGCCTCAATACAATACAATACAATACAATTGACACACGGAGCCAAAGAAAAGATCCTGGCAGTCTGTCTGCTCAGGAAAGCAGTGTGAGAGGGAAACCTGAAGCTCCTACTCCCCTCTCACAGAGCTCCCTTGCAGCACCTAGTTAGTGAGTGCTTTTTGAAGTGAGTCCCCTTGATGTACATCTGACTGAGAGTCTGTTTGCACACCTGTGACCGAACATGTGTCAAGCGCATCATGAGTCCTGAATTACAGCCCTTCCAAAGCTGTCTTACATGAAATTAGTCCATTGGTCTGTCTAGCTCGGTACTGACTACTTTTGACTCGCAGCAACTCTCTAGGATCTCTATCAGAGAGGGATCTTGAAAAGTCCTTAGACTAACGCAGTGATTCAGCTTTAAGACTTTATTTAAGGTTCGGAACAAGACAAACTAACCAGCTCGCAGGCTGGTTTATATGTGCAACAACCCCACACCCAAAACACACCCACAAACAAGTGATCGGCTATTTATAGTGGCCGAGAGTTCCATAGGCTCTTGGTTGGGAGCCTAGCCTGTTGATAGGCACCGGCTAGGATCCGCTTGTCCCATTGCTACTGCGAGCGAAGCTCAGCTGCTTCGCATGACCGTGGGGTGAAATGGCCATGCACATGGTCTGGGATGGATACATTACACCCCTCCCCCCTTGGTCCAAAAGTCACCCACACACATAGTCCTGCAGATAGGAGGGTGCTTTACGGGTTCTGTTGAGCAGTGAGGTGCGGGCACCGGGGCGGAAGGTGACACTGTAACATTCAGCTGAGAGGTGGCCGGTGTTGGTGGCTATGGTGCTGGCAGTGCTGTTTCTCGGGGCCCGGCTGTGCTGTCTGTTGGAGGGTCGAAGGGTACCTCATTGTGCTGGGCCAGGTTGTCCGGGATCTGAGGTGGAGTGGGAGTTTCCAGGGTGTCTGGGTCGTCAAAGTCCTCTGGGTCATGTGGCAGTACCCGCCGCCGCAACTGATTGATGTGGCGGTGTAGTATCTGGCCGTCCTCGCTGGAGACCTCGTACAACCAGGGTCCCCGGACTTTCACCACCCAGGCTGGAATCCATGGCGAGCCTTCCACATAGTTCCAAGTGTAGACTGGATCCTCGGGAAGAAACCCTCTGGCAGCCTCGGGTGACTCTGTGGCCGGTTCCTCTTCCAGTGCTTGATCGGGATGAAGGCGATCTAGCCGGGTCGTCAGGCGCCGTCCCAAAAGGAGCTCTGCTGGGTTGCATCCCGTCACAGTGTGGAGCGTCATTCTCTGGCCAAAGAGGAAAGCTGCCAGCTTGTAGTCCCAGTCCTTACTATCCAAGCGGCAGAGCACCTCCTTAGTCGTGCACACCATGCGCTCGGCTTTGCCGTTGGTCTCAGGGTGGAATGGGGCCGACCTGACATGGCGAATTCCATAACAGCAAGTAAAGTCCTGTCATTCGCTATAGGTAAATGCTGTACCATTGTCAGTGACCAGGGTGTCCGGAATCCCCTGGGCGCTGAAGATGTGCCACATGGCCCGGATGGCTGCTCGTGAGGATGTGGATAGCACTGGGATGACCTCGAGCCATTTGCTGTATGCATCCACGAGTATAAAAAAGAGTTGACCCTGGAATGGCCCCGCAAAGTCCAGGTAGAGTCGAGACCAGGGCTTGTGTGACGACTCCCATGCCCTTGCGGGGGATCGGGGGAACTCAGCTCAGGATACTTGGCAGGGCTGACAGCGCTTCACCCGGTCCTCAATGTCCCGGTCCAGCCCTGGCCACCAGACGTAACTTCTGGCCAGGGCTTTCATCCGGACTACCCTTGGATGTGTGTCGTGTAGCGCTGTGAGGACTCGTTCCCTTAACAGAGTCGGAATCACCACCTGGCCACCCCACATTAAACAGCCTTTGTGAGACAACAGCTCGTCCTTGCAGGAGGCAAATGCTGTGAAGTCCGCCCCCACCGAGGCTGTAGGCCATCCCCTTCTCCCCCAGTCCAAGACGCAGCAAAGGATCGGGTCCCGGTGTCAGGTTCCACAGCAAGTAACTCTTCACACACGTTTCTCCTGAAGCGTTATGTTTATTAAAGCACAAGACTGGTACCATGTCCACAGGATTATTGTTAGGAATGACTAAAAGGCGGGAACATCCAATAGATATAGTCGAGCAAGGCCACTAGCTAAACAAATGAACTTCGAGCGAGCGCGTGCAGGATTGCTCTCGGCGGGAGATTACATAATGAGCAGGAGAGATGCAGGGCATCCTGAGAGCAGAATATTTCACACCAAAAGTGAACTGCAAGCTCATCCCACCTTGCAAGGCCAGACTTATAAAGGCGTCTAGCTCCCACGTCTCTCCCAAGCATGATTACTGCCAGCTGTGAGCTGCAAGACTGGGAACAAAAGGGGGGGGGGAGCACATGAAAATAACAGCACACGGAAATGACAGCTAGCTGACATTCTGCTCCCTCCAAACTACATTATCCCTCTCCCACCGCCGATAGGGGACCGCCCGGTTTCTCTGGGAATTGGGCATAAAATTTACGCAAGAGTTTGGGGGCCCGAACGTCTTTCCCCGCCACCCACTCCTGATGCTCAGGACCCCAATGCATCCATTCCACCAGGTAGAACAATTGTCCACGTTTCATTTTAGAATCCAGAATTGCAGGTATTTCCTAATGTTCCTCCCCCTCCACCAGAATTGGGGGTGGGCGAGCCGGTTTTGGGCACCAGGGATTAGACGGTGGACAGGACTTCAGTATTTAAGGCTTGAAATGGAAATTTGGATGAATGTTCCGTAAGTTCTTAGGCAAGTCCAATTCAACTGTCACTTCATTAATTAGCCTTACAACTTTAAATGGCCCAATGTATTTCCACGCCAACGTCCGGCACGACTGTGGCAGACGTAGGTTTTTTGTAAACAAATACACAGAATCTCCAGGCTGCAAAACCCAACCCTCCACCCTCTTCTTGTCAGCCTGATGTTTGTAAGCGGCTTTAGCCATGTCTAAAGCTTCGCAGATCTTGGGCCACGCCTCTCTTAAAGCTGAGCTCCACTCCGAAGTCTCCCCCCTTTCCCCGGCGTGGAAGTCAGAAAGGGGATCGGGGGGCTGTCATAACCAAAAGCCACTTTGAATGGTGACATTCCTGTAGAAGCGTGGTAAGAATTGTTATAACAAAATTCAGCAAGAGTCAATAGGTCTGCCCAATCATCCTGTTGAAAGTTTGTGAAACATCT